ATTGAATGCTCTGTTTTTTATTGGGAAGGAAGTAGAAAAAAAATAAAACATGCATTGAGAGGAAAACAGAGGAATAGAAAGCCCTGGATTTGCAACCAAATCAACACATACTGGGGGACACTGGATCACAAGTGTTAAGACCTCCTGTGGAACCCCATAATGGTTAAGAATAACCTTGCTGTGATTAATCCCACAGTCAGCTCTTCGGTAATAGCAGTCTTCACAAATTGTATTGATGGAAATACCAGATAATGTGTAAACCAGGGGTCTTCAAACTTGACAGCTTTAAGACTTGTGGACTTCAACTCCCAGAATTTCTCCTCCAGTCATGTTAGCTCAGGAATTCTGGGAGTTGAAGCCCACAAGTCTTAAATTTGCCAAGTTTGAAAACCCTTGGTGTAAGCAAATGATTTGTGAATGGCCTTTTACCCCAAAATTTTGGCTGAAATAGTATGTGTGCTAAGATGATAATTGACAAAGTTTGCACAAGCTGACACTAGAATGAATGTGACGTATACTCTGGCTTGCAATTCTGACTATTTTGGTAACACAGACAATGGGATTAATTTTGAAAACATGGTTATGCGCATAGCTAGACTGTTCTCCTTGCTGTCACAGCAGGCTTCCTTCCCCATTTGACTTTTTTTTTAAAAAAAAAAGGTCAAAAGGCAAGCTGACAACCAGGAAAGCTCACACCAACTGACTCATTTATGGGCTTTCTCTCAGATGAATGATTTGCGATTACCTGTGTTATTTGTGGCTGCCATTTTGTGTATAAACACACACATATACCCTAGTGGCCATTTTATAATTGCAGCTACCACATGATCTCAAATTCCCAAAGGGTCAAAAAGAGTTGCCTAATTCTGTATATCCCAGTCTCCCATGAATGTGTGTAGGAAATCTATCTTGGGAATTCTGCTCCTCTCTGCTTTTCTCCAGATTATAGGGAAAGGAAGTCGTCTGGATTCCAAAAAAAAAAAAAAAAGGCATATAGTATTCCCTCATGTATTCTCATGGAGAGGCCTTTAACTGCAAGATGTCACTGGGTGATCAGAGCTACCTGGCACATCGATCAGCATGAATAGTTTGCACACTGAAAAAGTTCCAGGGCCGGTCCAAGCGAAATAATCCTTCCCTATTTGAAATCTTGAAAGCCACTACAGCCAGAGAAGAAGAGACTGAACTGCTTATCCAGATAGCCTAGCCTAACATAGAATTTCTTCCTACCTGCAGCATTTCCTTTGTCTGGGTGAAGGCTGCTTAAAACTGAGCAGTGGATTTTGCACCTGTATGTTTCTACTTAATCCACTAATGGTGCTCTCCAGGTGTGCTGGACCAGGGCACCATTAATTCTCAACCAGCATGATCTAGTTCATTTTTCACCAGCTTGGGAAAGTGTACATCTTTTGTAAAAAATAATAATAATAATAATAATGGGTGAGTTATTGGCCCAGATTGCCTAAGGGTAACATTTGCCAACCTGGAGCCCTCTAGAGAAGATGAACATTAAGACTCTTTAAATTCCCAGCCCCGTCTAAGAGCACTTGGCTGATCTTACATCCAGTTCAGTTACAAGGAGGGAAAAAGGTACTTTAATTTTTTTAAATGTAATTCCTTCTTGAACTATTGAAGATTACTAAAAGGGCTGAGCCCAGGCTGTGATGTTTTGGAAATGTAAAATATAATTTCTGAATACTTATACTTAGAAAAATATCCTCTGTGTTGCTGCAATTGTATACCTCTTAAGAGAGCCTTCTGCGGCCTCCCAATACATCTTTGGTGCAAGATTTAAGTTTTGGTGTCATTCTGAATCTTTTCTCCCCTCTTTATGCCCATTCTACTTTCTACCAGATGGCAAATAATAATATCTACTCATGAATGAAGGCAAAATATATGTGTCCCAGGATCATGTTGCAGGATCCAATCCGGGTCGGTCACCAGTTTAAGTCTTCCAAGATTTTGGACTCCTGCTCAGACTTGGGATCCTCGGGAAACTTCTCTCTCACCGGAATGAGACACACACTGTCAGACCTGTCTCAGCTTAAACCTCTAAGTAAGAATGATCCTTCACTCCGTTTAGGTGAGAAAGATACAGTTTACTTGAAGTCAAGTGAATTGCAGTTAAGTCAAAACCAGAACTGAAAAGTGTGCACCAGAAGTCTCCAAGTGTAACATTTGCCTCCGATCCCAGCTCCCTTAGGTCCAATCAAATTTAAACAAGGTGGTTTTAGAACGGTCAGTTGAGGACTAGATTTGGTGTGCAGTTGTGTTCCATTCCCAGCTATCTGACCTTGAAGCTTCTCTTGGAGAGATACAGTAAGCTTGTTTCCCCTGAAGTTTCCCACCTCCCATCTAGCCCCCCCCTTGAGTTCACAGCAGCTGGTACTGAATGTCTGCAAAGCAATAGCAAATGGCACTTAGACTTATATACAGCTTCACAGTGCTTTTCAGCCCTCTAAGCAGTTTGCAAAGTCAGCATGTTGCCCCCGACAATCTGGGTCCTCATTTTATCGACCTTAGAAGGATGGAAGGCTGAATCAACCATGATCCGCATTAGGATTGAACTCCTGGCTCTGGGCATAGTCAGTCTACAGTACTGTATTCTAACCACTGTGCCACAATGGTTCTTCAAGCAAAAGTGTGAAGTGGCAGTTGATACACACATTCTGGTGAGAGAGAAGTTCCCTGAAGATGGGCTCCAGCACCAAGTCCGAAAGCTCGGAAGACTAAATCCCTGGTCCAATGGTGGGATACAAATGTTTTTACTACCAGGTGTTGCTTGGTGGGCGTGGCAGGGGAAGGATACTGTAAAATCTCCAGTCAGAGGTGGGATTTGCCAGTTCTCCAAACTACTCAATCTCCAGGCCTGGTCAGAAGCTGCTGAATACCACCTCTGCTCTGGTCCCAGTGACTGACTCAGATTGGATCCTGAAATAATCTACTCCATTTGCATTGTTCACATTTTGAGTACCAATTGGGGGCAACCAAAACCAGGCACACAGGGGAGGTAGCCACAACAAATACACTGGCCCACCGACATAAAAGTATTGCAAAGTTTTCCAACGTCATGTGTTCCAAGTTAATTCCAACATGGAATTGTCTCAGCCAGAGGATGACAATTATTTCTCTTGCCGGGACATTTTGAAAGCACTGATATCTGAGACAGAGTAAGGACACAACCGCCTGGTGACAGAAATGACATCAGTGGGGATAGGCCAGAAAAAAATTCCATGAAAATAGTCTTAGAAAGAGAGAGGAATGGTCTTCAGGAAGGAACAATAATGAAAGAGCTATTTGGAAGCAGGGTTCATCTCCCAGTATTTACCCTTAAATAAAAGACTGTTGAATCAGCAATCTTTTTGGCATGGGATATATAACTTTTATTAACCAATGGCATAAATCTTAATGGATCTCCAAAGTGACTCCCAAGATCTCATATGATTACACTGAAATCTTATGAGATTCTTGTAAGACTGTTCATTTAAAAAAATAGACTTAACTTGAGGATCTGCAAGTACTATTTATAGTTGTTAGAAACACCCTGCAGTGTAGCACATTTTCCTTTACTGATAATTATTTTTTGTGCCGTTTCTGGACCTTAACAGTAACACGCTTACACTACCCAGGAAAACAGGAGTGCTGTTTTTTAAAAAGATTCAGGATGGCTGGCATTAGCAATAAATGTCCGACTGCAGTCTGTATTTCCTTCAGCTGCTCCTTGGGCTACAGTTACTGCGTGCTCAATCTCTCCCAATGGGTTTACAAAGCGTTTCCTAGCTTCAGTGAGTTCTCCACCATTAGGCCAACCGCAGGGCCCCAGCAAAGACTTTACAATTCGGCTTCCCACTCATCTGGACAGGCACTCGTGCGCAGGTACGCTACTAAATAAAAGATTTAACCAGGATGACCATGTGATCAACGCCACAGGCTACGTCCACTACCTCACCTGGCACTGTCACCTGAAGAAGAAAAAGGGAAATTAAAATCCACTTGCATTTTTTTTCCCCTGCCCTACAGCAAATTTCAAGAATATCCTTTTTTTTTTTTAGCAGTTTCACGGTCTTCCCATACCAGGTTAGGAAATGGCAAAAGCTGGAAATTTACAAATGGTGCCTAGCAAAAAGCATTATGTTCAAGTAGTCTCATGGTTCCTAATACAGACCACCCACTTCTATTCAGGATGATCCAGTAGAAGGTTCATGGAGTTCACCTAGATCAGTCACTCCTTCCCCCTCCCCCAAAAAAACCTCCAGGTCCAGCACCCTGGACTTTATCCTTTCATACTGGATGCCATTTGGTTTTGCAAGGGTAGATTTTGATTGTCAAAATAGTGAGCTTGGGGAGCCTCAATGCACAGGATCCCTACAACCCTGGGTAAAAAGCTGCCACGTTCTGTTTAGCGGCTGCCAAGCAGAACCGGATGCCTCTCCTGCATGAACAAATTCCCTATGTAGCTTTCAGGTGCTGGAGAATCGAAGGAGGGTTGTATTGTTTTTTAGAAGCCTGTTCTTGCACTTTGCAAAGGTTTCCAGTTGCTGGAATGTAAAAAGTAGAAGGCATGGCCAAAAAAGCCTAAGTGTGCCACAATTTTATAACTATTTTTGTTAAAAGTTTCATTATTTTGTAGCTTGGCATCTACAGTAGTCACCAGTAGTGATGCTGTATACCATTAGCAATAGCACGTAGACTTATATACTGCTTCACAGGGCTTTCCAGCTCTCTCTAAGCAGTTTACAGAGCCAGCATAATGCCCCCAACTAATCCTTTAGCTCATACTAAAGGATTGCAACTTACAACATTGTTCACTTCTATCTTATTATTCTATCTTATTCTGGTTTAGCAATAGCACTTAGACTTATATACCACTTCACAGTGCTTTACAGCCCTCTCTAAACAGTTTACAGAGTCAGCATATTGCCCCCAACAATTTTGGGTCCTCATTTTACCCATCTCGGAAGGATGGAAGGCTGAGTTAACCTTGAGCCAGTCATGATCGAATTGCTGGCAGCTGGCAGTCAATAGAAGTAGCCTGCAGTACTGCATTCTAACCACTGCGTCACCACAGCTCATATTAGGGCTGTGCATGCTTCGGAAACAACTAAGAAAATTGCTTTGAAATTTGCACCAGACAACCACCCGTCTTAATTTTAAGAAGTGGATTCTGTAAACCAGCAGCAGCAACGATTTATTTTTTTCAAGCTAGTGAATAAGGCTGCAAAAGACTGGGCTGCTTTAGAAGGAGCTAAGAAGTGCTGTTTCCATGAGGTCCAAATCACTTCTGAAATATTTTTAAAATATGCATATTGCTACTATATATGCTAAGACTCTTAAACCAGTTGGAGCATTTTGGACTTCCATTCCCCCATACTCACTCTCTCAACTAATAGGACTAGGATGTAGCTCTGGAAAGGTTTCCTATGTTGAACACTGAGCCCAGAAAACAGGGTTGACCTTGAAGAAAGCAAGTTTCAAAAATTTTCCAGCTTGGTAGAGCTTTGTAGTTGCTTCAAACCAATAAAACTTCTAATAAGGACCAGAATCAAATAGCAAAAAGCACATTAGCAAAAAAAATAGTATATTCTGGGTTGGTAGGCAAGCTACAATTAATAATGCAGGAGCATTCCAATTTATCTTCTGGAGCTCGGGATGCTGGAATACAGATATCTGCTGATTTGACATTTCTATTTAGGTTGCTGCTGCTACTGCTGGCCAATCCTACAGTTGCAGCGAGATCCTTTTTAAAAACAAATACTCTTCAAAAGAGTATCTGGAATGAGGCTGCCCCCAAGATCTGAATGAATGCCCCACCCCACCCTGTTGGGATTATGAAGGGACCTGAAGATTAAGCTCTTCATCCAAGTCTTCAGTGAGGATGAGTGAAGCTTCCTTTTAGCCTAGATTATTTTGTTTCTACCTGGTCTGTTTTTCTACAATTTCTATCCTTCTTTTGTTTCTTGGTTTCTATGGGCTGTTTTTTCAAATTTTAAATCATTTGTAAACTGCCCAGAGGTGCTGGCAGCTGGGTAGAATATGCATTTAAATAACGATAGCTGACAAAAACCTTCAGCACTGACAAAACCCACTGGCATTGACAAACTCACCCTCAGTCAATTGCAAAAGGCAGCTATACTTGGAACAGCTGACATCCCAGAACATCTGCCTATCCCAGAGAGCGGGATGCACTTAATAGGTAGGCAAAAATGCCAAGTCCAGTCTAAACATCTGGCTGACTATGTGACAAACCATAACAAGGTCATTTCTTACCCTCCAGGGGAAGTACTGGTCTTCCATCCTGCCAATTCCCAAGCATCCTCGCACATTTTTGCCCCATATAAAGAGTTCTCCGTGGTCTAAAAACCAACAGAAAAAAAATCAAATGTCATTCAAAAGCAATAGCACTTTGACTTGCTTCATTGTGGTTTTACAGCCCTCTCTTAAGTGGTTTACAAAATCAGCATGTTGCCGCCAACAATCTGGTCCCTCTATAAAAGGACTTTTGATTGCTACAAAAGATTCTTTGGGATCAATACTGGATACTTACGCAAAGCAATATAATTTACAGAAGGGGGGGCGGGGAATCAACTCCAGATTTGGGAACATGAGAGAACCTTAACAGTTTGCAGGCAACTATAAGACAACCCCTTACATAAATAGATTAAAGTAATTCTCACTAAAGAGGCTTTCCCCCCCTAAACGGATGCACTTACAATTTTACTCCAAGATACTTACTAGTGATCGCCGCAAACTGGTTTAATCCACAACGGATCCGGTCCACGCAAATATTAGGGTTGAAGTCTGACAAGCCAAACAGGGAAGGTGGGATCATCTCAGGAATGGCTGTTTCCATAAGATTTGGTCCTTTCCCAAGGATCCCATAACCCCACACAAAAACATGGCCTTCCTCTAGATTATCAGAAACAAAAATAGGTAAGATAACGACAGCTGGCTTCAGACAAGACACTAGTATATACAGAAGTGGGGTAAGATGGGCAGGCCATGGGTTCAGTCTTGCACAAATCCCACTTTTGCGTTAGCACAAAATCAGTACATCAGCCTCACTGGGTAAACTAGATAGGAATCACAATCAGATTAGCTAACAGTATCTTTACTATTATAGCAACAGCAATAGCACTGCTTTACAGTACTTTACAGCCCTCTCTAAGCGGTTTACAGAGTCAGCATATTGCCCCCAACAATCTGGGTCCTCATTTTACCAACCTTGGAAGGATGGAAGGCTGAGTCAACCTTGAGCTTGGTGAGATTCGAACTACCAAATTGCAGAAAGGAGTCAACTAACACAACCAGGAACAAGTATGATATTTTGCAAATGTACTTTGAATCACAGGCAGAAAATCCATCTTCTGAAAAGTAGTATTTTGCTCCCATCAGCCTCGGCTAGCACAGCCCACAATAAAGGATTGCAACTTACAATATTGCTCACTTCTATCTTATTCTGCTATCTTATTCTGGTTTAGCAATAGCAATTAGACTTATATATCGCTTTACAGTGCTTTACAGCCCTCTCTAAGGGGTTTACAGAGTCAACCTATTGCCCCCAACAATCTGGGTGCTCATTTTACCCACCTCGGAAGGATGGAAGGCTGAGTCAACCTTGAGCCTGGTGAGATTTGAACTACCAAACTGTAGGCAGCTGGCAGGGAGCAGAAGTAGCCTGCACTCTAACCACTGCACCACCATGACTCATAAAAGGCGGGGGGGGGATGACCAAGAGGCTCACCAGTTAAGATGGCATTGCCAGTTCCACCACAGGAAGCTTCCTTCACTTTTCCAACATTGAAGCGCAAATGCCTGGGCACATTGACCTGCAATGAGCAGAAATACAGAATGTGACATGGCTGTTATTTTAAGACTTTCAGAAAAAGAGCTTTATGTCCTGGTCAACAACCATCAATAAACTGTACTGAACTGAACTGAAAGAAAAGCATGACAGTCTCTTTTACAAAGACGAATCCAAAGCTTGACAAGTTTGACCTCCATGAAATTTCATTTATTCACACCACATACATACACACCAAGGTTCAACACTGTGTCATGCTGAACTCTGCAAAAAAAATGCAGCCCAGGTATAGGTAGTCCTCAACTTACAACCACAATTGAGCCCAAGTCTGTTGCTAAGCAAGACAGTTGTTAAATGAGTTGTGTCCCATTTCACAACCTTTTTTGCCAGAGTTTTTAAGCGAATCACTGCAGCTGTTAAGTGAATCATGTGGTCGTTAAGTGAATCTGGCTTCCCCCATTGACTCTGCTTGTCAAGACGCTGGGTGGGAAGGTCACAAATGGTGATCGGATGACCTTGAGATGCTGCAACTCTCATGCCGGTTCCAAGTGTCCAAATTTTGATCATGTGATTGCAGGGAGGAGGCAACGGGTTGGGTGAGGGTTGGTTGCAAATCATTTTTCAGTGCCGTTGTAACTTCAAATAGTTGCTAAATGAATGGTTGATAGTCAAGGACCACCTGTATACAGCCACCAGCTCTTCGTTTGAGCTTGGGGCAGAGCGGTATGTGTCCAATATGAAGGTATCACTTTAGGCATCTTCAGAATTAGATATTTCTGGTTTATTTTGACTATGCTTTCAGCTTGATGGGTCACTGATCTTTAGCAGATGCCTGGAAAGTTATGCTGTTGCCTACTATGGATCTCTACTTTATGGGACATTAGGATAGACCTCTTCATTCTGACTAATGCAAAGTTCAGAACTTGAGCTCCCCAAGTTCTGCAAAAACCTTGGCTGAACTGAAAAAATGATTAACATGCTCATTATGTCGACCCCCAAAACAGCAAGCCACCAGCAAGCTGTCTCAGGGTTGCCAGGCTTAACTCACCGCAGCTGATCAGCTGAGCGGCAGCAGAAGAAGCAGCTGGCGATCAGCTGGGATGTGGCGGGGAGAACAGAGCACCAGGTGAAGGCTGTGCCAGAAGCAGCTGAGCAAAGTGCTGATGTAACTGGGCCTCGGAAAGCAGACCGGCAGCTGAGACACGGCTGGAAGATCCAGCTACACGGCGGAGCTGGTCAGCGGAGAAGCGAAGTGCTGGAATCCCGGAAGCAGGCCGTCAGCTGCTTGTCAGATTAGGTGCGAGCAATGATTGTGGGATGTTAGCGGCGGGCGGAAGCCGATGCGTGGAGTAGGCACACACATTGGAATTTAAGGCACAGGAGACAAACCATGGCACTGACTTTGTTTGTCACTCCATGCCGGGTTTTCACACTTCCAACCAAACAATCTTGCTTGCGGTTTTCTTGGTGCTGGAGTTTCGGAGCTGGTGACACGTTATTGTAATTGATGTAATTCGAACTACCCTGACATTTCAAAGAAATTAATTTTCTTTTCCCTGCTCTCGCCTGTCAATTTTAGCCACGCCTAGTTCTACAAAAGGAGACCTTCAGCATGCTACCCGGAGATGAGCACATGCGTGATTCTCTCAAGAAAAAGGTATCCTCCCCTCCCAGCCAATCCAAGCCTCCCTCTTTTCCTGTGGCACAAAAGGCCTTGCCGAGTTGTGCAAGTGGCAACCATTCTAACCTGGGTCGTCTCAGTAACAGAGGTCAGCTGAAGATATTCTGAATTTCCCCATCCAAAGAGCTCGCCAGTCTCTGATACAGCCAGGCAAGAATCTCCATAGGTTGCGACCTGTGTAATGCGGACGCCTCCAATGTCCCCGCCCAGTTTTGTGGGAACACTCGCTATGTCGTAGTGGCCTAGGCCTAGTTGGGAGAGAAAGAGGAGGAAAGTCAGTGCATTATATGCATGTTAATGGCAAGTCAACCAGTTAATAATTAACAATTAATAATTACATGCAGGTGGCCCTCAACTTACTATTTGTTTAGTGATAGCTCTGGTCCACATATTTTGGGTTATATTGTATTAGGTTAGGCTTATTTTTCTATTATGCTGTAGACCAGGAGTCTCCAACCCTGGCAACTTCAAGACTTGTGAACTTCAATTCCCAGAATTCTGGGAGTTGAAGTCTACAAGTCTTAAAGTTGCCAAGGTTGGAGACCCCTGCTGTAGACCAGTATATCTCAACCTTAGCCACTAAGTAAGTGGACTTCACCTCCCAGAATTCCCCAGCCAGCTATGCTGGGAGTTGGAAGTCCAGATGTTTTAAAGTTACTAAGGTTGAGAAACACAGATTTAGACTGTCCGCAGAGACATAGCTTGCCCACAGTGGAAAAAGAAAATGAAGAAACCCTAGTTTTATTGTTAGATCCAGCCTCTGTTCACCTTCTCTAATCTGGAGCTCCCTTATATTTTCACTGGAGTGTGGGAAGTTAAGCACTACAGGTAGTCCTTAACTTACAAGAGTTCACTTAGTGACCATTCGAAGTTCCCATAGCACTGAAAAAAGTTACAATGGCCCCATGGCCACGTGATCAAAATTCAACTGACTCATATTTATGACGGTTGCAGTGTCCTGGGGTCATGTGATCACCCTTTGGCGACCTTCTGACAAGCAAAGTCAATGGGAAATTCACTTAACCACCGTGGTGCGAAATTAACGAGTGCAGTGATTCGCTTAACTGTGAGGAGAAAAGTTGCAAAATGGAGGAAACAAATCTCTTAACTGCCTCACTGAGCAACATAAATTCTGGGCTCAATTGTGGTCGTAAGTCAAGGATAACCTTGTACTGCTCTTTAAGCATATAGAACTCCACCCTGTTAGTTTTATCCTCACAAAAATCCTGCAAGGTAGGCTACTTTTTTTTATAACGTATCCTTTTCTTCATATATAACTCAAGGTAGTGAACGTATCAATACACCTTCCTTCTCCTATCGTCCCACAACAACATAGGCTATATGAGGTGAACTGGGCTGAGACAGTATGACTGTTCAGAGTTGCCCAGTGATTTTCCGTGCCAAGGACAGGACTAGAACTCACAAACCGCCTGGTTTCTGGGACACTTTAACCACTAGACAAACTGTCTCTCTCCAAATTGAGCAATTTGGGCTAATATAATGGGACCTCGCGAGCTTGTCCCTGGTTCTCCTCCGCAACTGATCCCACACCTCAGAAGCTGGCACGAGGGGCATTTTATAGGCTGATTTTCAGTTCTATTGAATGAGTTAATCCACAGGGTGTGATCCACAGTCAAAATGGCAGCCAACACAAAAATAGGCAGAGCTTTGAACTGAACTTTACAGGTACTGTCTTGTTTTTGTTTTGTTTTTTTGTACCACAAACTGCAAAAAAGACATTAAGAAAGACGAAGGAGCAAGAAGATTTGTTCACTTCTACAGAACATGAACAAGTAGATAGAGGCAAATGCATGCATGATGTATCAATTATTCAGGGCTTTAGACTTTTCATTATAATGGCTCTATTCAAGATACTGTTATATGCGTATTCCTGGAATGAATGAAGCAATGCTTCTAAATTATGTTGTTTTAATTTCTAAGACCACTAAAAATGATTAAGGGCTGTTTGCAGATCATCGCATAACGTGCATCCATCTTTATATGCACGCACATGAACTCATGCTACAAATTAAAGCACAGTTATTGTAATATTTATAGCCATAACTTTGACTTTAACTGACCAATAATGTTTAGGGCAAAATTAATTAATTAAATTAAGTTATGAAAATCACCAGAATGTGGTCAGCCTCCTATAGAATCTAATCTAGTTCAAAATAGTATTGATCTTAATCATCAGAAGGAAGACAAAGGAGACAGAACCAGATTATCTTCTATGAAACACAGTTTGACTACCTCTGGTCTATTTCATCCATGACTCTAAAAATATTGTTCCTTAAAGTAAAGGTAAAGATTTCCCCTGTCCAGTCATGTCTAGGGGGCAACATTCATCTCCATTTCTTAGCTGAGGGAGCCAACGTTGTCCAAAGATGTTTCCATGGTCACATGGCCAGCATGACTATATGCTAAGGCACACAGAACGCTGTTATCTTCCCAGCGAAGTGGTACCTATTTATCTACTTGCATTTGCATGCTTTTGAACTGTTAGGTGGGCAGAAGCTGAGGCAAGGATAGGAGCTCACCCCATGGCGTAGCACTTGGGTCTTGAACCCGGGCTATCAACTTTGCAGTTGACAAGCTCAGGGTCTTTAATCACTGAGCCATTGGGGACCCTCCTTCCCCTTTCTTCTTTAATTAAGATATTTATTCTGCAAGTTAGAAGTGGTGTAACCATTTCTATGCCTTTCCTTCACTTTATACAGCAGCCTTCCATCTTCCAAAGTAACTTGCTCAATAGGTACAAAATAGTTAAATTCACTTCTACTTCAGAAGCAAAATCAACAGTGCTCCAGTCTCCATTTTTATGGTTTTGAACAGATTCAAAAACACCACTAGCAATGCAGCTGTTAGGATGAATCATTCTTTGCATGGTGGCAATGTCATAAACCACAACAATTCTGGAAAATCATTTATCCCAGAATGAAACAATGATAAATTAAAAACTTTCCTATTTATTTTTGTGCCAGTTCTTTTTCCGCTGAACATTAGATTCCTACAAAGTATACAGAGTTGGCACTACACCTTGACAGCTGCTAGAATACTTGAAATCACAGACAATTTCTTTTTAGAGGGATAACAAGAGAGTAAATTTCCAGAGTTGGCACTGTTATCAAAAAGAACCTTTTTGTTTGATAGTGAAGTTAATTGTTCTGGAAACCATTTATGGAATATAAATTTTGCATGTGGAATTACACCACATACAATATTCAGGTTTCTCTAAACAGAAATATGCAATATTAGATTTTGTTTGATGCATTATAAGGGCATAGTATATCAGATTGGATCAATTGCTACTTTTTATTCTGATTGACAGTTCTGGCCATATATTGGCTGCCTTTGCTATGACTGAGTTGATTTTAACAAGTGCAAAATGGGGGGGGGGGATATCACCCTTATATGTAGCATTAACCTAATTTGAACATTCTTTTTCAATTATATGCAACTTATAAATCTCGTTTTTGTGTTTCTTTCTTGTTCCTTTTTCTTTTTTTCTTGTTTGCTAAATTCAATTCAATTATTAGATCAAAATTAAATTAAATTGCTGGCATGATCCAGCTCAGACACTTTACCTGTCTGGCCATCCGCTCCCCAACCACAAGAATAAACATCTCCTTTTTCAGTCCGGAAGAGGCTATGATCCTGCCCACAGGCAACCTTTAGGCAAAATAAAACATAAAGGTTTATTGAAAAATTTAGGATTTAAATGCTATGCTTGCTGCTCCAAACAAACGTTCTATTTTCAGTTAAAGTTAAATAGGCATAAGGAGGAAACCAGAATTAAAACAACTTTCCGTCTCCTGATGTTTCTATTATAACTTGGCATTTACAGGTAGTCTTCAATTCACAACCGGCTGCTTAGCAACTGCTTGAAATTATGACAAACCTCCCCAGAGCTACATACAACCTGGATTCAAAGTTTTGACAGCCAGCCTCGCCGGTAGTCACATGACCACATTTTGGATGCTCAGGTTAACAGCCCATTTTTATGGCTGTCTGAGCATCACACGGACCCTTTATTACTGGAAACTAGCATTTAGTTCCTATTTCTATTTACTTAACAACCTGGCCTTCACTTTATGACTGCAGGGTTCACTTAAAAGTCTGCTGCCAAAAAGGTTGTAAAATTAAGGCAGAGTCACATGATGACTTGCTTACGCTCATCATGACTTACAACTGTAATTCCGGGTTCAATTATAGTGTAGGTCGAGGACTACCTGTAGTTCGCAAAAATGACTGTGGAATTGTTAAAATTTAAAAGATCTTCTGCAAGAACCTGAATCATATATGACTGGAGTGGCATAGAGGCCTAAGGGCAGGGGGAAACAAATCAATGAAACCAAGACTTCTGAGACTAGAACAAAGAAAAGTTGTGGGGTTGCTTATTTTTTAATGGCTGTGTTTGCACAATTAAGCTGGTTATGAATTAAACCATTTCCTGAGTTCACATAATAGAGTCGCTCCCAAAATAAATGAACCCAAGTTTAATGCTAACCAAACTTAGCATTCTGTAATATGCAGTGACTACATTTTTAGCTGAATGGGTTAAGCCTGTTGTGTGAATGTAGTCAGTGTGGGCCAATTTTCTCCTGACCTGGGTCCTTCCCAATTTGATATCATCCCTAGGCTGGGCAGCCAAAATCTTTCTGCGAGTTGAAGAAAGCCATGGATGATAAAATCCAAGCTTTTAAGATGCACCTCTTATTTATCATAGCCCAATTGAGAAAAATTCTAGATTGCAGGTAAAAGTTAGCTTTGATTAGTCAGTTGCATCCCATCTGAGGTAATTGTGGGAAGAGCTGAAACAAGCAGAAGATGGGATCCCAACCAAAAATGAGCAAAAACACCATATTTTTCTCAACCTTTGTTCATTTTGGCATCTTTTTCTATGCAAATTCTGAAATTATCTCTTTGGCTTGAAAGACCATATGAAATTTGACTAGGGTCTCAGTGCTAAACTAGACTGATCCCCTAGTCTGATTCAGCATATTACAGTTTCCTTTTCAAAGACACACAGAAAAGTTCATGCAGCGCAACACGTTTTTCCTTCAAAAAGAGGGTACAGGTTTTCGGCACGACTTACTTGGACCACTCTGTCTTCAAATCCTTGCAGTTTGTTAATGATCTGGCTCTCACTACATTTTGCCCGGAAAAAAAAGTCATAACAAGAAAGTGAAACAAGCCATCACGTGAACAGCTAAACAGTTTATTTTAAACATGTGGTTGAAGCAAATGCCTATTACCGACAAAGTTTCAGAGCACTCACTATTTAACTTCCTGTATTTTCCAAAGCACATTCCTGACACTGCAGAAGGGCTTTTTAGTATTTGAAACTATAGCATGGAATTGTTCTGAGATTAAAAAAATCTCCGCTGAATATTAAGGTGAAATCACAGAGCACTCCAATCAATAGACAGAGGAGGAAATGCTTGAGGTAGACTTTTTCTGTTTTTTCCTTAAAAGTTCCAACAGGAAGAAAATGGTCTACATCAGTTGTAATATTAGAACAATTCTTCCTCCATTCCAGGGACATGTTAGGGATCTGACCCTAAGGTGTTGCTAAGCAACATTTCTCTGCATCCTTCACCATTTGTGGTGCCTGTTGGAACTGGTGGGAGATGTTATGAAGCAATAACTACAAGGGAGAGCCAGTGACAGCAGATCATGCCTTCATAACTTCAGATGTCAACATTCTAGAATGCAAAGTTGTTAGGAATATGAGTCACCTAACAGCTATTTGGGTTAGAAATATATAAACCAGGATAAACATTTTAAAACTGTATCTTTAAGAAAAGGCAAAACTGTAATTAGGTGTGGTTTCTCAAACGGCCATAAGATGGAGCCAGAAACCTGGGTTGTCTTAGTCTTAGTCTTAGTCTTAGTCTGAGTCTCAGAAGAGAGTGTATCTGAGTGAGTATCTCTGTTTCCTTCTGTTGGGAAGTATTGCCGTTCCTCCATTTTTCCTGGATTTGATGTAAGTCTGATACTGAACTGCTTTTTGACACTGGACTTTGATATTTGGATTATCCCTGGATTGAAAACTGACTGATTTAACCTGTGAATGACTTTGGACTGCCTATTTTGGACTTTGCTTAACGTTTCTGGAAGCAAAACCCTACATTTACTGTACAGTGTATCTGTGTGCTCTGTGTGTATTATTCCAACACTACTCTCTATATGTCTCCCTGTATGCATTCATTCTCCTAACGGGGAATTACCTCAACAAAAGTACCAATAGTTCTTAAACCAGGATTCCAGTTAAGCAAAGTCAATCACACACCTCCTAGTCCTGCTTAGAGATACACTTCCAGCAAGAACCATTATATAGAACCAAACAAGTTCTCTCACCTGTATATTTCACCTTCAATCACTTTTCGGCCACATTGGCCATAAGCGTTGTTGCCCATGCTAAAGACTGAAAGAAAAATTATGAGACACCATCAGGTAACTATCCAATATCCTGCTTAGCTAAAAAAAAATGCCTTTTCAGGAAGATCTTGTTTCCCTCAAATCTGAAAAGGGAATATGCAATTATTTTTTTTCTTTTAAATATTCCCAGAACAATATGCATTTATATGTAAATATGGATTTTCTCAGGAAGACATGAGAGTTTGGTTCTGGAAATAGAGCTAAGCAAGATGTAAATCAAATATCAAAGTTAATTTTCCCCTTTCCTCCATCACCAGTAAATTTTAGAAAATGGACATCCTACAAACAGAAGTCCATAATCAGGGAAGATGTACTGAACATAAAATCACCATTCGCCAGCTTAATCTTTAATCTAAGACTGTCCAAGATTGTATGACACCTAATGCTAAGCCTTTGTTTTTACCATACTGTACAGTTTGATTTTGGCTAAGCACAATATCAAACCCAGCTGATATGATTGCTAAACTATGGATTATAGTTTACCATAATGCACCCATACAGCCACTTGTTCATGAATCAACAAATTTGTAATTTTATCCTGGCTTTCCTCCAGGAGCTTAAGATATAGAAATCTCCCCATAGGTATCTGCAAATGAGGAAACCATGACATCATTGTGCAACGATTTATGGATTGATATTAGACATGACATTGCTGATGTAAACTGCACAATTCGTATCATTTTGGAATCTGTGGAAAAAATGTCCATTTTGACATCATCATGACTGGTAATGGATTGCTATGGAACTCCCTTTATTTTAACTTCTAGAACAGCAATTCCATGAGATAGGCTGGCCTGAGAAAGAACGATTGGTCCAACGTCACCATGAACTAAGCTAAAGATGGGATTGAACCAGAATCTCCCAGGTCACAGCTCAATACTTAACTACAACACCACCTTGGTATATTTTAACCAGTACTTTAAAAACCTTACAGGTTTGTTTGTTTTTTATTCCTTGTATGTCCAACCAGGGGTGGGATTCTACAGGTTCGCACCTATTTGCTAGAATCGGTTGTTAACATTCTAAGCAGTTCTGAGAACCAGTTGTTAGAAGAAATTACTGGCCTAATCCTGTAAGGAAGGCAAGAAGGAAACATTCTGGTGTTGCTTACAGAAACTGCCTCTCTGTTAACCCTTATTACATTCTTGGCAGAACTAGACTTCCTGTCTCAGGAACTTCTCTGGAGTTTTTTTTCCTCCTTTGCTGGTACTTTGCTTGTGTGGAATGACCATTCAAAGTTACAATGGCACTGAAAAAAGTGACTTATGACCGTTTTTCACACTTACAACTGTTGCCACATCCCCAGTCATGAGAGGCCAGGCAAGGAGATGAGTGCCTCAATGTGAGTGATGTTGAGTTGACCACGCCCAGCCAGTCACATGACCACCAAGTCATGCCCACCAACTAAGCCATGCCCACAGAAACGGTTGTTAAAAAATTTGAATCCCACCCCTGTGTCCAACCCCACTTGGCCAGTAAAGAATTCTATTCTATTCTATTCTACTCTATTCTACTCTATTCTGCCCATTTCTTATAAGATGACAAAATTATGTATTAACTTTAGTGTCAGTCTCTTTCTATAAAGTATAAAAGTACCATCAAACCTCCTTCTTCTGTTAACACCAAAGAATGTGCTCTCCCACAAGATACTTGCAAAACTCTGCTCTGCTGTGGCTTGGCCAGTGGCAAGGGAACAGGGCTGGGCTCCAAGACATATTCATAGCCTTTAGCTTAAAAATAAAGAAACAGACAATGTATTGCAATGTATGTGCAATGTATTAAACAGAGTGTAGCTTTAATCTGCTACGAAAGTTACAAAGACTCAACAAATATCACAATAAATGGATTTAAATTACTTCAAGATGCTCAGTTATTAACTTTCACACACTCTGCAATTTACATACTATTATTCGTGGCCAGGAACACAGTCACTACTAGTAATATGTATTTCAAGGCAGGCCTTGCAATGCCCATTTTTTAAAATCTAAAAATTTAACACCCATTCTAGGCGGGCCAGTTCATAGTTAGCATTGCGTTTGTAATAAAAGGCGAAAGATGTTTTCACAAGACTACCAACAGTGATATTAGAGCAGCTATTGTCCCCAACCATATACTCTTGACTACATGTTCTATTTGTAGCTACTACCTATAGAAAGATTTACTGGGTCATGCCAAATGTTCATTTGGTCCAAATGTAGGATTATCCTGCAACAGGTTTGTCTGACAACTGCCCAATAGTTTTCCAGTGCAAAGACATTTTCCCAATCTTTGAAAATCATAGATATTAATTTTAAGTCTAGAGATTGCTTTTTAGCCTGACTTCACTATCCGTAATTATTTTTAATGTTGTATAATTTTAACAGTTCTACTTTTTTTCTGTCAAGCTTTCTGGGAAGATGACTAAAAGATGAAATAAATATGTAATAACCAATTAGAAGCATGGGAGTGAAAGAACAAGGATAGCATGTTTTTCATACTTACATTTATTTTTCCTGCTCCTGTGAAATCCAATCTGAGAATCTTTATTCAGCCCCATTCCCCAGACCTTGTTAATATCCATTGTTTTGGAGGACAGAAGTGTGAACCCATAGCCACAAGCAGCAGAAGAAATCTTTAAAACAATCAATAAGTAGATGTTTAGCCATGGCTTGATATAAACAAGCATACAACAAAGATGGGGAACCTGTAGTTTTTCTCCACTATTTTTGAATCACAATTCTCATCAAAGCTAACAGGCCAGTGATCATGAATAACAAGAAAGACACTCTAATATTATTTTTAGGAAACACAAATTCCCCATTTCTAATGTCAAAAAAAGAAAGGAAAGAAGTCTACCCAACTCTCTGCATCAGAAAGAAGCGAAGAATACTGTATACAGAAACTTAATCAGGCTCTCATTCAGCAATTCAAAAAGTCAGGGTTTTTTCTCCTTTGCATTTTCAAGGATAGGAATGCTGATCAGAGATGTCAAAAGCTGCCTTCAGTAATTTGTAAAAATAATAAAGGCAGGATACAAATAAATAAATGATAAACTGAATCATTGTTCTTTTAGCAACAACAGTTACAGAGATAGTTGCTGCTTGAAAAATCTGCTTCTTTACTATGGAAAGGATTATAATACGATATTCTATGTTTGATTATTTGGAAATGAATGATACCTTAAACTAGGTTTTATAATAGTTGATTCTTGCTCAAAAAAGATGAGATGAATTTATAAATAGTCTGATAATGATTTGACAATAATATGATGCGAAGCGGATAGTAGTTATATACATTATGAATTGTAATATAAAAACAGGATGAAAGGACTGTTGATATTGTGCACAAGAGATATGTACCAATCGACACACTGTATAACTGTAAGGTTTTATTTGTTGTTTTGTGTTTGTGTTTGTTTATGTTTGTTGTTAAAAATAAAAAAAACTTTAATAAAAAAGAAAGAAAAATCTGCTGAGAAAACAATTCATCTATTCTGAGAAACTGATGTACAATGTTCAAGAATTAGAACAGGGAGACTGCTGAAATGTTGTTCCTTTATATTATGTTCATTATGAACAAAGAGTGCTTCTTTTGGTCCCTCAAAGATCCATTGTTCATTTAGAAAAAAATGAGGAATTTTAAAGGCTAGATATAAAGGGATCTTTCTTTTGCAAACAAATCTTCTTGCATAATACATAAGATCAGTTTTACCTGGATATACCTCTTAGCTGACAATAAAAACAAAGAAAAAAACAGACTTTGGTGGAATTATAAGATTGTTTCAGCAGGGAGTGAGGGGAAGAAATCTATGAAGCATAGTTAGAATCAAACTAATTTTAGTACCTAAAATGGTATGACAATCAGCAACACCACAGCTTTCCATACCTGAAGGTTACCTAGTTGGAAAGCTGTTCTAAAAAGTCCTGTAGCAATCCTGAAATATCCTTTAACACCTAAGTGACTGCTATAACAGCAACATCCTCTGGGATCTCCATTTTTAAAGTCAAGCCTGATTCTTGCTGATTTCATGGAAAACAAAGTACAGAGGCAGTTTGTTTTTGCTTTCTTCTGGGATCTCCTTGTTGATGTCACTGTCTGGATGCACCAGGCTGTGAGAACAACCTTGGGAGGCAAGAGGGAGAACCACAGCCTAGACCAAGGGTCTTCAAACTTGGCAAGTTTAAGACTTGTGGACTTTAACTCCCAGAATTCCTGAGCTAACATGACTGGAGGAGAAATTCTGGGAGTTGAAGTCCACAAGTCTTAAAACTGTCAAGTTTGAAGACCCCGGCCTAGACCAGTGGTCATCAACCGATGGTCTGCAATTCACTGGTGGTCCATGAGAAAATTTTGGTGGTCTGCAGAGAAATGTCTCCCCCAAAGCACCCCCCAAAGCAATTAATCCAGGCTGTGAGGGAATACAAGCCTGCGCTGCACATGGCCTGCAGGAACACAAAGCTTGCATAGGAACAACACAAAGTAGTGGGGGGAAGGACGGAGGGGGGAACTTGGCTGCTTCTTTCCGCTTCTTTCTTCTTCTGCTTTTGGCTGCATGCAAGGAAAGCAACAAAAGTCTTTCATTCTCTCCCCCAAACTACAGAATATATCGCAGAATATATATCTCTCTCCTTCACTCCCCCCCTCTCTCAACTGAGCTCAAAAGCAGGTTAGGAATGTGGCTGCCTTGGAGGGGGCGGTGTGTGTATGAGGGGTGTGTGTGTGTGAGAGAGAGAGAGAGAGAGAGAGAGAGAATCACCAGCCCTCCCAGGTTAGATTTATTATTTATTTGTTAAATTTATTTACTGTAAACCTTACAAAAGTAGTAGTACTCTTGTTTTGGTTTCCCAACTGGACTACCTCAAAGGGCTTACACCGACTTTCCTGTGCTTTCCTAGTGGTCACCTATCCCAACCCTTATTGGGTCTGATTTTGGCTGTGGTTTCAGTGGCAACTGAAGTACGTGCTGTCCCTTTCTCATTCTTGAAACGACTCAACTCCCAGAAAGTAGGAAGATTTCCCTCCTCTCACCTTCTCCATCACCTCTAGGCGGTAAGGCGTGGGCTGGATCCGCCTTCGCTTTTTCCCTGCATCTGGGATGATAAAGGAAGGGATGCCCAGAGCCCCCGAGTAGGTGAAGCCGCACACAAAGACCCGTTCTTTCCTTTTGGCTCGGTCTCCCACATATTTGAAAATGGGGGCAGCCTCGTCGGTGGCTTTGGCATGCCGGACGCTCTTTGGCTTGGCAGCTTTCGCGAAGCCGCGGTGCCGCCCTTCAAAGAAGAGCCCGAGGGGAAAGCCAAGGAAGGACCGGGGGGCACCGTGGAGGGAAGGATTCAGCCATGGCACCCCGGGGGAGACCCGTCCCCTTCTCAGAGATCCCCCATAAAGCCCTCTTGTGCAGAGTCCGGGCACGCCATCGAAGTCCTTGCTTTTAGGTCGCTGAAGGAGCTGCTTCTTGGACCCCACAGATGTCACCCAGATCCTTCTCTGGAAGGCTGTCAGACAGCCAGTAAGCCCCATCTCAGATCCCTTGCCTGGAGAGATCACCAAACCACGTTTCTACCCCTTAAAAATAATCACCAACTTGGGATCATGGGCAGCGCCATCTTGTTAACCTTTCACCTTTTCTTGTTCTGCGCAGGCGCAATTCTCCCCTTCAAAGAAACCGCCATGATAATATAGGCAAGAGTCCGATGTTGTCGTTAGCCAGCCGGTAATCTCGACAGGCGCACTAGCGGTGACTTTTTAATGCAGCTGTTCTTGTTTGCGCAGGCGCAAAATTTACTGTTCAGTCAAAGCCTCTGGGCGTACTTTTATCAGGAATAGGGTTCTTTTTGTTTCCGCGGCCGTGTCCATCTCTCTAGCGCCCCCTTTGGGGCTGAGCCGTAATTTCGAGATTATTTCCCTGTGCGCAAGCGCACCAAGGACTCGGTACATTTCGCCACGATACCTATCATTCAGAGACGAACCTAAATGTTGAGGTTCAGCCAAGCCTTTCATTCATTAAAAGCCAGGACGCACCAGATGGTTTCCTATTGGGCCGGTGGCAGTCAGACATCAGAGGCAACTCTGAGATGAATTGGGTCACATATTAAAAATTTAACAAAGGAGGAGAATGCAGTGGCAGTTTAATGTATAAGTAGTCCTTGACATATATTACCACAACTGAGCTTCAAATTTCTCTTGCTAAGCGAGACAATTGTTAAGTGAGTTTTGCTCCATTTTACAACCTTTCTTGCCACAATTGTTAAGTGAATCACTGGAGTTGTTAAGTTAGTAACACGATTGTTAAATGAATCTGGCTTTCCCATTGACTTTGCTTGTCAGAAGGTTGCAAAAGGGGATCCCGTGATTTTGGGACACTGCAGCCGTCATAAATACAAATCGATTGCCAACTGTCTGAATTTTGATCCTACGACCCATGGGGACGCTGCAAGGGTCGTAAGTTTGAAAAATGGTCATAAGTCAACTTTTTTCAGTGATGCTGTAACTTTGAATGGTCACTATGTGAACTGTGGTAAGTCGAGGACTACCTGTATAGGATTTTTCAAGTTGCATTCCTTTGGATTGATAGAAACACAGAGGGAGGCTAAAGGGGAGCTGAAGCCAGTTTCTTTAAAGATGCTCCAGAAGGCAAGCTTGATAACAGATCTAACCGATAATCAGAGTTGGAAGGGACTTTGTAGGTCATCTAGTCCAACCCCCCCACCCAAGCGGGAGACCCTACACCATTTCTGACAAATGGCAGTCCAATCTCTTTTTGAAAGTTTCAAGTGATGACACCCCCACAACTTCTGAAAGGAAGCTGTTCCATGGGTTGATTGTTCTCACTGTCAGAAAGTTTCTCCTTATTTCCAGGTTGAATCTCTCCTTGTTCAGTTTCCATCCATTATTCCTTGTCTGGCCTTCAGGTGTTTTGGAAAATAGCTTAACCCCTTCCTCTCGGTGGCAGCCCCTCAAATATTGGAAGACCGCTATCATGTCTCCCCTGGTTCTTCTCTTCACTAGACTAGCCATGCCCAGTTCCTATAATCGTTCTTCTTCTGTTTTAGCCTCCAGTCCCCTAATCACCCTGGTTGCTCTTCTCTGTACTTTTTCTAGAGTCTTAACATCCTTTTTATAGTGTGGTGACCAAAACCGGATGCAGTACTCTAGGTGTGGTCTTAACTAGGCTTTATAGAGTGGTATTAGTACCTCACTTGATCTTGACAGTATCCCTCTCTTAATGCAACTTAGGAATGTAACAAACGCAATGTATTGGCTTTTTTTTTAAGTGTTGCAGGTTACACAACTTCCCAGAAGAGGGCTGAGGGAAACTGCTAACAAGAAAATTGCACAGATGTGGCCTTGCGCTTCCCAGACTTCAAGCTTAATTCAAAGGAGACATAACCTTATTCTGAAAAACTGCCTTTACTGAATTCTACACAAGACCTCGCTTCACATCATATGTCTCATACGTATGGCATAAATCAGAGTTTATAAAGCAACATGCATTTCAAGCAGCCAAACCTCTCCCACGGGCTCTCCCACCTCTCCCATGTTTCCCCCCCTGATCTATATATTACAGTACTAAAATTCTCAATGTGTTTATCTGTCTGTTTGTACCTTCAAGTTAACCCAAACGGTGTGTTATACCCACCACCAATTTTAATCAAGGTGCCAAAACTCACTAACATGAAGAATGCAAATATGGGATCCATTACGCCGGTGGAATTGAAATTGTTATAATATTCAAGAACAGTTTTATGTGCAAAGTTGTAGCCGCTGCAGCATCCCCACAGTCACCCAATCATGATTTCTAATGCATCCAAGAAGGAAAAAACATTGGGGAAACGGTCAGGAAGTCAGAAGTCACCAACTCCAAAGACGCTATGGTGGGACAGCAGAATACCTGCAGGACCACATCTTCCGATCTATTGCAAGCAAGCGATGGTAGCTGAAAGAGCTTTTCAAAAATGTTTGGGTTCAACAATATGTTTCTATTCATTTTGTTATTATATGGATATATATTTCCATATGTCATATGGAAATAAAAGTTGGGTATTGGTTGAGCTGGGCAGCTATAGAATTCCAATAAATAGCAGGAAGTTTAATAAAAAGGTCTTGTATAAAGGTAGTCCTTGACTTGCGGGAGCCCGAAATTTCTGTTGCTAAGCGAGACATTTGTTGAGTGAGTTTTGCTCCATTTTAGCATCTTTCTTGCCACAGTTGTTAAGTGAATCACTGCAGCCGTTGAGCTAGTGACACGGTTGTTAAATGAATTTGGCTTCCCCATTGACTTTGCTTGTCAGAAGGTCGCAAAAGGTGACCTGACCCTGGGACATTGTAGCCGTCATAAGTATGAGTCAGTTACCAAGGGTCTGAATTTTGATTACATGAGCATGGGGGTGCTGCAAAAGTCATAAGTGTGAAAAATGGCCATAAGTCACTTTTCAGGGCTGTTGTAACAACAGTCACTAAATGAACTGCTATAAGTCAAGGACTACCTGTATTATCCTTCTTGGTTCTATTTCTTGATTCTGTTATCTTTGGCTAATTATCTGCCATCTGTTTGAAGGAGCTGGGATGGTCTGAATTATGACAAAGATATATTTAGACCTCCTTTTAGAATAGAATAGAGTAGGGTAGGGGTAGAGGTAGAGGTTAGAATAGAATAGGGTAGTGTAGGGTAGAGGTAGGGATAGGGGTTAGAATAGAATAGAGAAGTAGAATAGAGTAGGGTAGAATAGAGTAGAGTAGAGTAGAGGTAATGGAATGGAATGGAATAGAATAGAATAGAATAGAATAGAATAGAATAGAATAGAATAGAATAGAATAGAATAGAATAGAATTCTTTATTGGCCAAGTGTGACTGGACACATAAGGAATTTGTCTTCAGTGCATAAGCTCCCAGTGTACATAAAGAAAAAATAAAATACATTCATCAAGAATCATAGAATACATCAAGAATCATAGAATACAACACTTAATGATAGTCATAGTTTACTAATAAGCAGTCAAATCATACCAGGAAACAAATAATATAGTCATAAGTGGGAAGAGATAGGCACTATCTCTTTATCACCTTGTTAAAAAATAAAATAAATAAATAAATATTTATCATCTTGTCATGATTATCCATGACTGTCTCTTCCTACTTTTGCTCTGTTTTCTTCCAGTTTTTGAAGTTTGCTGAAGTTTAATTAATTAACATCAAATTACATAATATTTTGCCTATTGAACTGAGTTGGGTGTACATTTCCTCTGGTCTGGATAGGAACCAGCCAGGAGTGTGCTGGGTGCAAACAAAACTGGAAACTAAACTACAGTTGTTTTTCCAGTAAAGAGCACCAAAATAATTTGAATGCAATGGAAATTAGAAAGCCTCACCAATAAATGGTCAAAATCAGCAGAAAAGTGAGTAAAAGAAGTACTTGAAATGGTTGGGTCGTGTGGGCAAAAAAAGGTTTCCTTCCGTATTGTAACGGGAAGGGGACATCACTTAAGGGAAAGAGCCTGAAAACAGAATGCATGCATGAAACCAAAAAGGGTTTGTAGTCTCCTGCAAAGATTGCTTGTTAGTCCAATTTCCAGAAAACTAGTAGTGGGCTTTGCCTTTTGCAGAAAAATCAACCAAAAGTCATGTAGCAATTTAAGGATTAACAAATATATTATCGTAAGCTTTTGCACAATCCCCTTCACACACAAAAAAACAGTTTTCAGAGAGGACGGAGACACAGAGATGCAAAGAGAGAGAGAGAGAACTATTTCTTACAGAGAAGACTCATGTTAATCATTGTAGCCAAAAATCAGGAGTCCAGTAGCCCTATTCCAACTGACAATTTTTAACAGCATAACAGAGCTGGAAGGGAACTTTGAGGTCTTCTACATAATAAAAATATAAACTGTTCAAATTGCCAGTGCAAGACTACATTTCTTTCTCTTTCTCTTAAAAGCAACAAACTTTGAAAGTGTATTTAAATTAACCAGGAGGGGGCCAGAAATCCCATTCATCAAGGGAAAACAAAACAAAAAGTTTCCTGTTCCCTCCCAGTGAGGAGCCAGAGATCCCCCTTTCAACATCTTTGCATCCTTACTATCTCAAAAACTCAATCTACAAAACAAGAAAGAGAGTGTAAACCCTCGCTCATTGATTGTTTTCAAACAGCCCAGGAAAAGAGACCTCCTGCCAGTTTATAAAGGGTTATAAACCTATTCTCAGATATCAGCAACAGCTAAGCAAAACAAAGCAAAGCATTAACCCTTTACTTACCAACTCTCAATGCTACTTCATATTACTTACTTTCATTATCTCAAAAAAATCAATTTCTTTAAAATACTTAATTTTTATCAAATGATCAATTGATTGGACTGCCATTTGTCAGAAATGGTGTAGGGTCTCCCACTTGGGCGGGGGGTTGGACTAGATGACCTACAAGGTCCCTTCCAACTCTGATTATCTGTATCTGAATGTTTAGTGCATATAGTGTACTGAATATCTGATTAGTAAAATCAGTGATTTAGTGAATTTAATTGACCAATGTGTTTAATAATTATTGTAATAAATTAGGCTGTTTGTTGCTTAGCAAAAATTGAATAGAGTGATTTGAATAACTGATTGATTG